TGCCAATGTTTTAGAAGATGCTCCTATTGTTGTATGAGGTGTTACAATATTTTAATGCTGCAAGTCTCTTTTGAAATCCTTGGGAATCTAAATGGTGTTGCGTGGCCAAACCCTGGGCCAAGTATGCGGCCCCAAGAAGATGAATCTTCCTTCCTTAGAAAATTTGAATAAAGAATAGCAGAGAAGTTCTATATTATAAATGTTCCAGACAATCTAAGATAAATTTTTAAAGGAAAGATTCCAAAGATAGTAGTGTTAAGGATTTGACAGGTTATGACATTCTGGTTTGCTTTAAGCAACCTTGGCTTTTGTAATCAGTGGAATGACCTCTATCACCTAATGTCTCTATTGCCTAAATAATGACCAAAGATAACAAGGAAATGGTTATCTCGTTTGAAAAAATGAGGGTTGAACTTTGCAAACTTCTACCAACCAATCTGATTTTGAAAAAATACAAAATGTAATTGCATAGCATTTAGTGATTCATAATATGTAAGGAATCACTTTGTGGAGCTCACTGGATGTGACTGAATTTAATGATTTCAGACTTAATTAAGGCTTCTACATTCAATCTGTCAATTTCTCCAAAATCATCATACTGATTAATAAAAGCATCTATTAATGAAACTTAACTCTAAACATTTCACTCTGTTTATTATTGTTAATTCATAACTTTCTGAAGAAAAGAGTATCATTATTCTGTCAGAATTGATGAAAGATTTTTTTTATTTAGCTGAAACAAAAATTTCCAGATGCTCTTTTGGTTACATAGTCGGATCAGACAGATATGGAAATACCTACTTTTTCATTTACTTTGGTTTGATTTCTTGTTTACCACGGCCTCCTCTAAAATTGAGCCCTGACAATGTTTGGGTCATTCTGGGAAAATAACGACTTCAACATTTGTAAAACTACTTTACAAATAAAAAAGTCATAAAGGTTGCCAATTCATTTGGATTATAAAATAGAAAGTTTGTGTAGAAATTTTGATTCCTCATGAATGGATATTGCAAGCCACATCGTTAACTGGAGATGAAGCAAAACAAGAAAACTGCCCGATTTTCTTCAGCCTCTTTAAAAACAACTTTGATGTGTAAAAAACAATAGAATTTAAGCATTACCCTTTAATAAATGTTGGCTGATCCAGCTGCTGTAAAAGGCAGAACTTTAGAGGCTGATTCAAAACTGGCAACCCTAATAGACCTCATTATAATTTTTGTCATGTAAGGAACTGACAGATAATCCACTCTGCCAAGGAAAATAGCCTGAAGCAACATGGTTTGCAGAGCTAACAACTTTGTATTTGATTGCACATCAGCAAACCTGGTGCATCCAGAGGCTCATTTCCATATCTCTTTGTAAGAAAACCCTCCCGCATCTTGATCCATCCTTTGAAGTTGTTTGACTGAGCTTACCCTGGCGGGGGAAGAAAAAAAAGAATATTTCCCATCTTATTCGGTTGTTGAGCAGTACTTCTTTCTGAAGACTGTGCCTTCCTTGCATTTTAAAGTTTCAATCAGTAATATCTACACCTCTCAGACTTAACAAAAGCAACAACTTTTGCTTGTTGGAGTATTATTAAAGTATCCACCAGCATCTTTTTTCATTGGTTATTGCTTTACTCTTAGAGTGATGTACGGAAAAGGCATCATTTAAGACAGGAGGCTTTGATCACCACAGAATCGCATGTGGGTCTCCAAACTCGGGGAATGCAACTGCCAAAAGTAGCTTTAATTTTGAATGTGGCATTAACAATGAACGCAGGGGGATTGGAATTCATTTAAACACCCCCCCCCCAATGTTCAGCAGACAACTATCAACAAGATGAAATGTAGTCCTTAGCTTGGAAAAAAAAGAGTGCTCTTCTATTCTTCAACAAGGATAACACTTAAAATTAGCATCTCAGTGTCTCTTTCCAAAGGCACAGATCATTTTTTTTTGTCAAGCTGTTTCAGGACTGCAATCCTATATAGGTTTCTCTAGAAGCTAATCCCAGGATGGGATAGTGGATGATTGCTATGTTAATTATTCAGCTTGCACTTTGCATCTGTGGAGTCTTGTTTATTGCATGTATAGATAATTCACTAAGACATGGGGACCTGTAGAGGAAACAGATAATTCCTAAACTGGTTTCTGGGATAAATGTTAGAAATGTCTCTTTTTAGCAGGAAGAGAAAAATATTTTGAGGATATTATTTCATGACTACTAGCTACCTCTGTTCATCTCTTTCATTGTTAATACCTATACAGCTTTGAAACATCTGGAAAGGTTATAAAATCAAAATAATAAAGCGCTTCACAATGATGACATTGAAAAGTATGTGTGCAATTCTTAAGTTCTCAAAAATTGCTTAAAATACCAAATCATCATCAGTATCCAGTACCCAGAATTAAAACCCTATAAAGTGGGCGCAAGGGAACCTCTTTGAGAAAAATGTTCCATTAATGGTACATTACAATAAAAAGGTTTTTTCTCTGGAAGATACCCACCAAGTTCAGTTAGTGGGAACATTCTGTCATAAGTCCTTAGTATGACTGCAGGTAGTCCTCGACTTACAACAGTTCATTTAGTGACTGTCCAAAGTTACAACAGTGCTGAAAAAAGTGACTTATGATCGTTTTTCCCCACCTACAACTGTTGTAGCCTCCCCATGGTCACATGATCAAAATTCTGACGCTTGGCAACTAGTTCATATTTATGATGGTTGAAGTGTCCCTGGGTCATGTGATCACCGTTTGCGACTTTCTGACAAGCAAAGTCAAGGGGGAAGCCAAATTCAATTAACAACCGTGTTATTAACTTAAGAACTGCAGTGATTCACTTAACAACTCTGGCAAGAAAGATCGTAAAATGGGGCAAAACTCAAGAAATATCTCATTTAACATAATTTTGGGGCTCAATTGTGGCCGTAACTCAAAAGACTACCTGTATTTTGTTTCCATTTCAGTTAATACAACTAATCTCTCTCTTACAATTTTATTTAAGGTGCCTTCAATTTGCACCTGCTATAAAAAGCCATTCCAGTATTGTAAGTTTGTTTTGCTCTTTCTGAAAAGAGAAACTTTCCCAACCCATGAATAGGGTTCCACTTGTTGTTACCCAGGACCCAAGGTTTAAAATATATTTTGATAAACTATTCCTACAGTGATGATATTTAGATATATCTCAGCTTGTCAGTGGGTAGTAGACCTTGGCTCATCTTATCTGAGCTTGGAAGCTAAGCAGGGTCAGGCCTGGTTAGTAGGTAGATGGGAGACTGGCAGGGGAATGCCAAGCTGTAGACTAGAGAGGGACGTTGACAAATATCCTTGAAGAAGCAGGCTTTGGCAAAGATTTTTCATGGTGCTGCCAAGAAAACTGCAAGGACGTGTCTTTAACTCAAAGGAGATTTATTCCACAAGCAAGACTTTCAGTTATCTGTTTCTGTCTCTGTAGATCTTCCTGAAATACAGAGATCATACTTATGCTACTTAAAGAAGATTTTTTTTTCTCCAGTGGCACGCTTTGCCAAGTTTATACCACTAATCTCTTAAATTGAGGGTTGTCTGTACAATATCAGTCTTCCCTGACACCTTTGTTGAAGCTAATGATTCCTGGCTGATATCTGACCTTCTTTAGAACTTGAGGCATTAAACAACAATTAGAAAGAGAAATGTTGTGGGTAAAAAAATCCTATTTTCCTGAAATGCTTCTAAAGGTGTGTTTTTGAGATTCTGATCCTGGTACAATATGCAAGGTATGTTGACTGGCCTAAAAACTGCTTTTGTGGCAAAACAGTACCTAAAATGCTGTATTGTTGGTCAGAACTAAAGTAAAGCTGCAGTTGATGATCAGAGCTGGTCCCATGCTGGATATCAAAAGTGATTTGGGTTCTGTGTATACCTTCTCCAATTGCTTTATTGGGTATGCAATAATTGTTATAAATGCATTGAAGAAAAGATGACAGGCTGTCAATAAGTAGTTATGAAGTTTCCCATTCTTCTTGCAGCACCTGCTTCTACACAGTAGCTGAGTATGCTCGGCTTGATTGAAAGCGTGATGGCAAATCGGATGCTTTTGCATTGACAACAGATGGAAATGTAGCCATCTTTTGCCTTTTGCTTTTAGAGTTAGATGATGCTGGGAGGAGGGATGTGAACGAGAGTCCAGCTAGACATAACAACTCTAGACCTAGTGTGAGAAGCAAGGTTATTGTAATCAGAGCTGATAAGAAATTGGCAGGCTGGTGCTTCAAGCTAATTGGGGAATGTGATTTATGACTGTTAATTGGAGGAGGGAATTGTGCTTTGATACTATGTGCTCAGGGAGGGGAATTCAGTTTTTGGCTTCGATTATGCAGTGCCAATGTTATGCTACTCAAAATAGAGACTCTTTAAGGTAAACACTGCCTCAAAGTTCTTTTGAAGAGTTTCATCTGTTGGAACTATGACAGTAGTGGCAACCTGGATTTTAAGTGTGACTGTTTCTCTGGTCTGTGAATGCCTAAAACTGTTCTTTAGAAGACCCTAAAATCTGATTTGACTGATGAAAGGGAGATACTTATCAAACATCTCCCCCACTCCAGTGTCCCTCGTAGGCAAGATTTACTGTTCTTCAGCTACTGATACATTGCTCCTTCCACTAGCAATACTGCTGTTTTTTGGCTGCTTTTAACAATTCAGGAATAATTTTCTTGAAATCCCAGAAGGAATGAGACAGTTAAAGCCTTCAGTCATTTACTGTAGTAATCTCAATCCAGCAGACAATGAGCACTGGGGAAAGTGAAAGCAATTGGATTGGTGTAAAATGGCTGGGCTCCGATCCATTGCTGTCCACTTACACATTCTTGTAGTCTCCACCATCTTCTGGGAAGACCAGTATATTCCCCTCCAAAAAATATGACCACCCGTGTTTTAATTTAAGATATTGGGTCTATCAACCCTCATTTATTTTACTTTCGTAGAACAAAAAGGCTTCCATGTTCTATAATGTCCAGTATGTTCTATTTTTTGTTTTCTAGACTTAAAAATGATAGCAGCTGGGAAGTTTGCAAATCTTCCACGGGATATGCAGATGAACCATGAGTTTCCCTTGGTCTCTTCTATGGATCTGTTGAGCAGCAAACCCACCCTGGCTGATGAACTTCATTCTGGTAACCATCAAGATGTTTCTATCCATGGCACCCTTCCGAGAAAAAAAAAGGGAACCCTTCTTCTTGGGTCATGTGATACCTTCAACAACATGAGAATGTTGCCATACACCAAAACAAATCAGTCTCCAGGATCTTTAATTCAAGGTGTCATTGAAGAGTATCCCCAGAAGAATAGGAAAAGTGACAGTCGCTCACACAGGTAAATCATGTTAAGTTTAAACCTATTGTGAATGCTACTCTATTTTATTGACATTTACAGTAATGCCTAAGAAGAATCTATCTTCTTCCCTACCCCTGTAGAGAGATATCTCAATTATATCGTCTGTCAATCATGTCTTGTGTCTTCTGAATAGATTTATCTATAACAACATAGTTAACAGAATGGAAAAATATATATAGTAATGCATTCAAAAACCGTTATATATCTGAAGTGTTATAAATATTTGAGAATCTGCTAATATAATAATCCCTCAGTGATGCACTGCCTTGATGTGATTGTGAGATTTGTATGCTCTAGGGGTTCAACCATTTTGGACAGGTTTCATCAAAGGAGCAGAACAAAGAATGTCTCTCCCATAAATAAAATGGGAACAGAAACTCATATCACATCGGTTGTCCCCTGGATCAACAAGGACTGTGCTTGTTGTTGGAGTTCCTGGACATCTGGTGACAAATGGGCTTTAAAGACTCGGGACTGTTGGCTGAGCAGTCAAGACCAGTAGCTGAGGGACTACTGGAAGAAAACTTATTGATCCATCACAAGTATACAAAGATTGAAAACAAAAAATAATGAGCTGTTATTATTGGCATTGACAAAATAACAATCAGTCAATTGCAAAAAGCAGCTTTGCTTGCAACAACTTACATCCTGTGATGATATCTTTTAACACCATAGAACAACACCATCTTCCAATCCCAGATCCTTGGAAAGGACTTGATAGGTGGATAAAAATGCCAAATCCAGTCTAAACATTTGGCTGACTCTGCAACTGTGCAACAACAACAATAATAATGAAGCTGTACGGAAAAACACCATCTAAAAAGAAATCACTGCTCAACACTCTCTGAATATATAGCCAAGATATTGCAATGGAGTTTGCACTGGACAAATGTGCCAGTCTTACCATCAACAGGAAAAAACAGTGAAAACTGAAGAAATCAAGATTCATCAAGAGTCTGGATGAAGAAGATCACTACAAATATCTGGGCATTCTTCGGGCTAACAACATCAAGTACACTGAAGTTAACACAAAGGTTAGAAGTGACTACATCAGAAGAATGAAGAAGATTTTAAAGTCCAGACTCAGTGATAGAAATACCATTGAGGTGATTAACATCTGGACAATTCCAGTCATTAGATATACAACTGGAATAATGGATTGGGCTCAAGCTGAAGCAGAAGCCCTGAATAAGGAGACCAGAAAAACAGTGACAATGAATCATGATCTTCATCCAGAAACACTGATATATTCTATTTACCAGGAGCATAGGTAGGTGTAGAACCAATATCTGAAGGGCAGAGAAGAAGATGCCCTGAAGCTAGTATATCATAAACTTTTGCTAAATATCAAAGTGACCAAACTGGTTTATAAAAAGACCAAATGAAGAATAGAAAAGAGACAAAGTTTATGTACTTGGCCAGTACATTAAAAAACAAAACAAAAAAACTAGCAGGCCAAAGCAGATAACAACAAGGCTTGGCAATGGCTAAGAGCAGGAAAGTTAAAGAAAGAAATTGGGCTGATTCTGGCTGCACAAGACCAAGTCTTAAAGACAAATGCATACAAAGCCAGAACTGAGAAGGCAGCAACAGGCAGCGAATACCATGCCTGTAAAGGAGCTGAAGAAACAGGGACCACCTAGTTAGCTGTTGCACAGACTGATTACAAACAACAGCACGACCAAATAGTAACAATAGTTCATTGAAATATCTACAAGAAATATCACTCACCTGCAAGTAAGAACTGGTGGGAGTACAAAGTAGACAAAGTAACACAAAATGAAGAAGCTGAAGTACACTTTGAGATTTTAGAATTCAAACAGAAAAGTACCTGCTTCACAACACCCTAGACATAATAATTGTTGACAAAAATACCCCAAAAATCTGGATAGTGGTCATGGCAGTAACTGAAGACAGTGGAAAAGAAGAGAGAGAATTTGAGAAAATAACAAAATATGAAGACCCCACAATAGAAGTAGAACAACAGTGGCAAAGGAAAGCAATAGTACAGGTAAACCTCGACTTACAAAAGTTCATTTAGTGACCGTTCAAAGTTACAATGGCACTGAAAAAAGTGACTTATGACCATTTTTCACACTTATTGCAGCATCCCCATGGTCATGTGATAAAAATTCAGATGCTTGGCAGCTGGCTATATTTATGATGGTTGCAGTGTCCCTGAGGTCATGCAGTCATCTTCTGACAAGCAAAGTCATTGAGGGAACTAGATGTACTTAACAATCGTGTTACTAACTTAACAATGGCAATGATTCACTTAACAACTGTTACAAGATGGGGGCAAACTCACTTAACAAATGTCTCACTTAGCAACAGAAATTTTGGGCTCATTCATTGTCATAAGTCGAGGACTACCTGTATTACCAATGGTAATAGGCATCTTGGGTGCAATTCCAAAATATTGACTGACATTGACAAAATCACCATTAGTCAATTGCAAAAGGCAGCTTTACTTGGAGCAGTGTACATTCTGCAGTAATACTTTTAATATTATTAAACAACATCTGCCTATCCCATGTTCTCCAACACTGGAGATGGATAATCCACGCAGTGGGTTGAGACTGTATTCCTGGCCAATCAGATCAGTCAGCCAAAGTTGCCACGCCCGTCCTGGACCATGATTCTCCAGTCTTGACTTATCTGGCCACACAGAAAGATGTACAACTTTGGCTCCTGGGCAGGTATAGTTCCTTTCCATTGGAGGGATTTTCTTCTAGTAGCTGAAATTGCTTAGTTTAAAAGTTAATTAGAGATAATTTAATTCAATTTAATTGATTACTCAAAAATTTCCTGGCTAAATTGTAAGACTCAGGAAGTCAGATTCCCTACAGGGGAAACCACCCTCACTTAAAAGGGGGAAATCCCTAACTCCCCTCCCTAACCCAAACCCCAACCACCTTCCCACAGCCGGGGCAGCCGGCAGCCGCCTTAAACAAACGGGGAGGCTCGTGCAACCCCTCGCGTTAAAAAGAAAGAAAGAAAGACAGAAAGGCAAGCAATTAGCGAGGGGAGCGGAGGACAAAGGGGACGCATGCTGGGAGGGCGATTGATTAAGGGAAACAGCTGGCGTGCGAAGGAGCAGTCTCTTTCACTCACCAGGCTGCTCAGGATTTTTAAACGAGGCGCCATTGTCTGCACAGCTGGGAGCACGCGCGGCTCTTTGTTACAACCGCACATGGCACAGGCAGCCTTTTTAGCACCGGCGCAATAATCTCCTGCTCCTTTTAACACATGCGCAGTAGTCTCCTGGCAGCGGCGGCCATACTTTTGTCCAAACAGGGGATCTAAGGCTCCCTGAGAAGCCTAGGTTCAGCCGCTGGAGTGAATTAATAGGCAAGCAGTACTAGGGTACTAAAGCATCTATTATTCATTCAGAGACATTCAAATCAGACACATAGCTGCTGGTTCCAGGACTTGGTGTCTTCAATCTAAAGTAAATAAGAACCTTTCATAACTAACTGTGTTTAGTTGCCTTTGGCTCCTTCCGGACTTCGGGTCCCCCATTAGTGGCCCGTATGCTTCTGGATTTAGTGGTGGGTTCCAGGCATCCCCAGTCGCGTGCCTGTTCTTACCCACCATAGTCAAGCCGGGTTCCAGGCATTCCCATTAGCGTGCCTGTTCTTATCCGTGCACAGTGACTAACTCTGACAATTTTGCAGAGTCTGCTCCTGAGTTCCAGACGCCCCCAGTAGTGCGCCTGTCCTTACTCAAAGTTGGAGCTCTCCTACTACCTGGGTCCCCCTATCGCGGCCCGGCATTAGTGGAGAATGGAGGAAGCAATCATTCCCTCCAGTGGAGCCCTGCCTTCATCCTCTGGAGCACCCGCTTCAGAGGATTCGGAATCCTCTGCAGCCCCTAGAAAGGCTGCAAGGAAGTCATCAAAGAAGGCCGACAAGCAGGCAATCAGAAGACACCAAGCCCTAGAAAAAGAGTTCGACAGAGCCCAGAAAAGGGCCAGAATCGAAAATAGGCAGAATGGGGGGATAGGTCCTGATCTACCGCTGGGTCTCCCTTCATCCCCACGGGCCATTTGGTCATTAGGGAACTCATCACAGTCCCAAACAGAGGATGGGATAGGCGAATTCTCATCGCTCTCCCGATCCCCCTCCCCACGGAGGTTACAGGAAACCCCGAGGACCATGCTAACCACAGCACCTGCAGGGTCGCAGGCAATGGTCACTCCTCCTGCATTGACGGGGGATCTGCTAGCTACCCTAATAGCACAGGCAGTGGACCGTGCATTTGAGGCCAGGGCTCAAACTTCCAAAGCCAAGTCTCTAGGACTTAGAACGAGGCATCGGGAGGAAACGGAGGACCATCAGGACCTCTCCTCCTTCTCAGACTCGTCGGTCTCCGAGGAAGCTTACCTGGACCAGCCAGGTACGTCACAAGGGATTCAAATGTCTGAGGAAGAGGAGGACACCTCACCTCAAGGGCCGTCCTTCAGCGGCCTGTTTAACCCTTCTCTTTTTGTTACCATTCTGCGCAAGGCTGAGGCCACAGCCCATCTGGGGCATGGGACACCAGCGGAGCCTGTCACAGTTGACACGGAGGCTGAGCCGACGTTCGCCGAAAAGGTAACCACTCAACACCGCATACCATGCCCGACCATGTTCCTAAACACAATAAGGAAACAGTGGGCAGCGCCAACCTCCCTACCACTTCCTAGCAATGCGGAGAGGAAGCTATTTAACGTAGCAAGGGAGCTAGAGGGAACATTGGAGGTGCCGGTGGTGGACGAACCCATAGGTCCCCTGATATCGGACACGGCCATATCAGGAGATTTTGCTGAGGCTCTTAAAGCCGAGGACCGAAAGAGTGAGTCCAACTACAGGAGAACGCACCAGGCAATAGCTTGGGCTACCAGGGCGACTACCTCCGCGTCCTTTTTCACCAGAGCCACAGCCACACTTGTTGGCTCCGTGAGTTACAGGGCCGGGTTCCCATGGAGGATATACACA